GATTCCGGATCTCCTTGCTTTCCGCCGCGCCCTCAAGACATGGCTTTTCCAGCAAGCAGGCCTGGCCTAGGGAGGATTTTAAATCGGGTTCACTTTTTTAGAAAATTTTAAACAGCACAACTCTAAAATATTTGGTTTTAATTGGTTTTATTCGGTGGGGATTGTAAATATGTTTCTGTTTTTAAATATGTTGTGAGCCTCCCTGAGTCCCGTTGGGAGAAGGGCGGGATATAAATCAAAAATAAAGTAAAGTAAAGTAAAGAGCCTTGTGATGGGAGACCAAGAGGAGATCCAGCTTTGGCATCCCCCAAAGCTCCTTTTCCTGAAGGCAGGACAGGAAGCAACGGGTGGAAACTAATCAAGGAGAGAAGCAACCTAGGAGAAACTTCCTGACAGTTAGAACAATTAACCAGTGGAACAACCTGCCTCCAGAAGCGGTGAATGCTCCAACACTGGAAGTTTTTAAGAAGAAACTGGACAGCCATTTGTCCGAAATGGTATAGGGTTTCCTGCCTGAGCAGGGGGTTGGACTAGATGACCTCCAAGGTCCCAACTTTATTATTATTATTATTATTATTATTATTATTATTATTATTATTATTATTATTATTATTATTATTATTATTATTATTTTATGGAGCTTCTGATTCTCGTTTCACCAAACCTTTCCTTTCCGCCCACTTGGGAAACAGAGCAGCTTCTCAGCCAGAGGGACCTTCCACCAGCTGGGTCTTCTCACCTTCTGGAGGGTTCCTTGTCCCAGATGTTTCTCCTTGAGGAACCCCCTTCCAAGAACAGCCTGGCTGGGATGAAAAGGGGGCCCATCTTCCCCAGATTGGTTCTTAGGAGGAAGAGAGCATGCACGTGCACACACACACACACACACACACACACACACACAACTGATCATGCCTCTGGTCTCTGTTCTAAGTTGGAGATTACATGTAAAGAGGACTAGTCACTCACTTGCTGCTTTTTTGTAGGCATGACGTCTCTCTGCAAAAACAAAAATCAGTGAAAGCTCAAAAGAATCCACCAGAGACCATCCAATCTCTCCCTCTCTGGGAGGAATACCTTCAGCAGACATTTCACAGTCATTTTGTCTCATTAATAAAGACAGAAAGATTTTCAAAAACCAAATGTATCTCCTGATTTGCCCCAAGGGAGACCTGCTGCCTCCGAGATGGAGGGAGGGAAAGGGGGGAAGCAGCAGCAGCTGGGAGAGTAGGAAGAGTTTCATGGAAATCCTTCTCTGCTGCTCTTCGACCAAAGCCTTTGAAAGGGACGGAACTGGGATGCCTCTTCCCAACTCAGGAGAAGACGGGACTGTCCCAACCTCAGACTCAGCCAGGTGAAGACTGGAGTCCCTGCAAGAGGCCGAGATCTCAGAGGCTCCCCAAGAGGGCTGGGAAAACAGGACAGAAGGAAGCCCTGAAGAAGCTCCCCAAAGAGAGAGACTTGGGAGGAACCTCCCCATCTTCCTTCCATCACCCAGAAAAAGATACTTACTGAAAAACCAGATCCCAACAACAATCACACACAGCAGGACAAGACCAGCCACAACGCCGATGATGATCCCCACGTTGGATTTTGGTTCTGAATTGGGAGAAAAAGCAGATAATTGAAGGAGATCCCCAATCATCCCAGTTGGGGGAGAGACCTAAAATAGCGAAAGCTGAAAATTCTCAAAATTAAAAACTTCTGTGGGTTCCTCTTTGTGTCCCTCTAAGGGTAGCATGAAGGCTCCTTGCTAACCATGGTTAGAGGACGTGTCCTCCTGATGCTGCCTCCTTCTCTCCCTAGCCCAGCATGAAGGCAGCTGAATTCATCTTTTAGCTTTTCCACTCAAAAACAGCCCTTTGCCATCTTGCGACTCTCAGCAGCTTACAAAACAAAAACTTCACCAACACAATATTGGTGAACAATACAATAACATTTGTTAAACAACGGTTTTTGTTCTGTTTAGAGGCTGCCCCAGTTTGTCATAATTTAGGCGGCTCTGTACGTTACGTTTTTTCTTCAGTTTGAGTGTTTGCATTTTATTATTTAAAGTAAAAGAGTTTATATCACCCAGCCTTTTTTAAAATATACACTTTCATTTCCTTGGCCAGTCCAGAAATAGCAGAAAATTATATTTTGTGCTTCCAGAACTTCAGCATGAAAAATGGAATAGGGAGACATCCGACTTCTGGACCGTCCCACAAATGGCAGAAACAGAATAAGAGATTTTGAAGGGACCTTGGAGGTCTTCTGGCACAACCCCCTGCTCAAGCATTCCAGACAAGTGGCTGTCCAGTCTCTTCTTAGATGCCTCCAGTGATGGAGCAACCAAAACTTCTGAAGACAAATTGTTCCACTGGTTAATTGTTCTCAATGTTAGGAATTTTCTCCTTAATTTCAGATTGCTTCTCTCATTGATTAGTTTGCATCCATCATTTCTTGTCCTGCCATCTGGTGCTTTGGAAATTAAGTTGACCCCCGCTCCTCTTTGTGGTAGCCTCCCAAATACTGGAATACTGCTATTATGTCTCCCCCCCCCCTCCTAGTCCTTCTTTTCTCTAGACTGGCCAAACCCAAAACCTGCAACTGTTCTTCATATGTTTTACTCTCCAGGCCTTTAACCATCTTAGTTGCTCTTCTTTGCACTTTTCCCCAAAGTCTCAACTTCTTTTTTGTAATGTGGTGACCAAAACTGCCTCCAGGTTGCACTTTGTTATGAGTGCTCCAGTGGTTTATTGTTCTCACTGTCAGGAAATTTCTCCTTAGTTCCAGTTTGCTTCTCTCCTTGTTTAGTTTCCATCCATTGCTTCTTGTCCTGCCCTCAGGTGCACCCCTAGTCCTTCTTTTCATTAGACTAGATATACCCAGTTTCTGCAATTGTTCTTCATATGTTTTAGCCTCCAGTCTCCTGATCATCTTTGTTGCTTTTCTCTGCACTCTTTCTAGAGTCTCAACATCTTTTTTATATCGTGGCGACCAAAACTGGATGCAATATTCAAAGTAAGGTCTTACCAAAGCATTATAAAGTGGTATTGCTTTGGGAGTCAGTTCTGAGGAGGGGAACTTTAAATTTAATTTTCTCTTGCACAAAACTCAGGACTCCTACTGAATAGCGATCATGCCATTTGTGAATTGATGCTTGCTAAAAACAACAAACACAAATCTTTTATTTTGCTTGGGATATCAGCATAAAAATTAAATGTGAACGTTTTTTTTTCTATTGTGATGACAATCATTAATAAAAGATTTAAACTTGAATTCTGCAATTTTGGAAATCCAGTGTAAAAAATGTTAGGGGCAGTTATGAGCATATGCAGAGTTCTTAGAGGGCTTTTTTTCTTAGGTTTTATGCTGAGCCTCAGGAATTCCCATATCGTATCATAAAATAATGTGCAACTTCTTTCTTAGAGCAGCAACACACAAAGACATTTCGTTCTTTACAGCAAGAAAAGTCTCTGGTGGTAAAAACTCAGATTTTCTGACTCCCGATGCATCAATCCAGATACTCTGTGCATTTCCTGAAGTCAGCTGCAGTTCATCGATTTTAATTAAATTTGGCCTTTAAAAAGGGACACAGACTCTCCTCCTGACTTTTGTACTTCAGGAATTCTAAAAAAAAAAAAATCATTTTTGGGTGTTCAGTATAACTGCTTCTCCATGGCTGGAGGCAAGAAAGAGAGGAGGGACAGAGGCTAAGAAAGGATCTAAGAGGATTTCATCAGGATCTGCCAGCTCTTTTGATGGGATTCTGGAGTTTCCTTTACATCTCCTGAAGCCAGTTCTATGGTCTGGTCCCTGCAGCTTCACCAACCTCAAACACTGGAAAAACCAATGGCCTAAAGGTCAGGTATGCTCACATCTGGACACAGGTGGGGTGAGATTTCCCTCCCACAACCCTCCAGCCTGCCAAAGAGCCCAGCCTTTCCCTCCCTGCAGCCTCTCACCCTCAAGGGCCATGTCCAGAGGCTCCTCGAGGCCGTCGTGCTCCACATGGCACCGATAGCGGCTCCTGTCTTTGGGATCGATCTGGATGCTGAGCCAGCGGTGATAGGTCCCATCAGCATTTGGGGCCACGGAGCCACGGAGGGTGTCCTGCAGCCAGACCTCCCCGTCCCTCGTCCAGGAGGCATCGATCTCCCTGGGGTAGAAGCCATCCACGCGACAGACGTGCGTCTCCATCCCATCCTCCACCTCCGTCTTGCTGCTCATGGTCACCTCTGGGGGGTCTGCAGAAACGGCACCCCCTGAATTAACTCTCAGCCCCTCCAGAGCCTGGAAGGTGGGGGGAAACTCAGAGGGGCAGGAAAGCCTCCCACTACTTCCCACTCCACACCTGTAGCGTCTCCAAGAGTTTTAGGAAATGCTCCAGATCTGGAAAAAGCTCAACCACAAGAACTCCTGATTCTGAGTCCTTCCCAGGGACTCAGCCTGAAAAACCTCCAGCAACAAATTGAGGGTCCAAGGAAATTCCTCTCTGGCTGCTTTGAACTCTGAGTGATCTTGGATTGTTTCTTTCAGGGGAGGGAAAGTGGAGCTGCTCTTTTAAGTTCCCTTTCAAGACAACAACAACACAGAAGTTTCTCCCTATTTTTGTGGTTTCCTTCTGCACCCCTGAATCTGAGACTGCTCCAGGCCTCTTTCCAAGGGACACAACCACAGTTTAAAGTAGAGGAAAGCCAGAATCAAAGTAAAAAGGGGCTCAGGGCGTTTGCAATTTCTGACTGATTAATTTGGAGAAGAGATATTATCCCTCAAAGGGGGGAGAGAGGTGAGGCCAATGGAAGAGAGAGAGAGAGAAAGAGAGAGAGAGAGAGACAGACAGAGAGAGAGAGAGAAAGAGAGAGAGACAGAGAGAGAGAGAGAGAGAGAGAAAGAGAGAGAGAGAGAGAGTCCTCCCAGGGCAGGGAGGGGCTGCTGGCAATTGTGTGGGGGGGCTTCCCCTGTGGACCCTGATCTCACTCAGCTTATACCAGAGGGGGGGTCAAGGACCCCAGAGGGGGTCGACCCAGTGGGGAGAGGTTGTTTAGATGGGAAAATAAGAACAAACCACAGGAAAAGATTATACTGTGAAGCCTCCTGTGGGGTGAGGGGGTGTTCTTCAAGGTGGGGAGGGGGCTGTTTTGAGGAAAGACTCACTAGGTCAGAAAGGAGGGAACCTGTTTGGGGTTTAAGAGAAAGATCCACAGAAATTTTGGGAAGAAAAGAACCCCTCAAGCTTGGCCTTTTTTGCCCAAGGGGGGGCCCTGAGGATGTCTTATTAATGGTAGACGTGGAGCCACCTAGTGGTGGTGGTGGGAGGTGCACCATCAGGTGCAAGGCAGGGAAGGAGCCCCCTGTGGGATGTGGGGGGAAGGAGAGTTAATGGGGGGAAATTAAAGGCACCCCACACTTGACTACAGTTTGGCTAATGGGGGTTTCACTGAAGAACCTCAAGTGTTCCTATTGCCTCATTGTGGGCTGTGAACAGGACACCCCCAAGTGCTTCTCCTGCCTGATCCACCCAGACACCCGCCAGGCAGAGGCTGCGTTTCCTGGTCCATTGAATGGCGGCCTGGCAAGGGGAACCAATCAGGGCTTCCGGCGTCATGGAGAGGGGCTGGAAGGGGAGGGGGAGGATTCCCTCCTGGGCAGTCAGACTGCAGACCAGGAACCCAAAGGGGCCGAATGTGCACAAGAAATCCAACCATAAAGGAGGAAAGTCCAGCCTGCATCCAGAGGCTCACCTGTCCTCAGCAGCGTCTCCTTCCCGTAGGACAGGTGCTTCTCCAGCCACTCAATGCAGATTTCCTCCAGGTAGGACTTATCTCTCTGATTCGATCCTGGAATAGCGTCCCATTTCCTCTGGGTGATCTGGGCCTGGGGTTGGAGAGCCACCCAGGTGGGGATCTCCTTGTCGAAGGTGAGGAAGGTCCTCCCTTCGTAGCCATGATGGTCAAATCCTCCTTTTTTCCCATCAGCCTGGAGCTCACAGCCATACATCCTCTGTATTATGT